GGGAGAGCAAGTGACTTCCCCGGGGCTCTTTTCAGAACAAAGAAAAGTCTTCCAGAAGTTTCCGGCAGGTCTCTCCTTCTGTCTTCTTGCCCAGAATTAGGGCACATGCTCATTCCAGAACCAGTCACCGGCATGGTAGATGGATTTACCTTTTGCCTAATCAGACCACTTCCTAGAACTGACGATGGCATCGGATTCTCCTGAGACCCATGGTATGCATGATTGTTGACGTACTTAGAACTGGTATTTTCTTGGGAAGAAAGAAAGGAGAATGGTACCGGCTAGCAATTAACAGTGTTCATTATACTTTCTAAGCCCTTCTGAGAATAGATATTTTTAGAAAACTAGAAAGCCAACTGAAAAAAAAACTATTTTGTGTTTTTTCAAGGCATGAAATTTTTTCAGGGAAAGATTTTTCAGAAGTCGTTGGCCAATGGGAAAAGCAGAGGCAGCGTGGTGGGGCTAGATTTGAACCTCAGAATCTGCCGCTTATTAAGAATGAAGCCTTGGTTGGGGGGGTACACCTGGGTGGCTCGATCAGTTAAGTGTCCCACTCTTTTTTTTTTTTTTTAATTTTTTTTTTTAATTTTTTTTTTCAACGTTTATTTATTTTTGGGACAGAGAGAGACAGAGCATGAATGGGGGAGGGGCAGAGAGAGAGGGAGACACAGAATCGGAAACAGGCTCCAGGCTCTGAGCCATCAGCCCAGAGCCCGACGCGGGGCTCGAACTCACAAGTGTCCCACTCTTGATTTCAGCTCAGGTCATGATGTCACAGTTAGTGAGATCGAGCCCCATGTTGGGCTCTTTGCCCACAGCACGGAGCCTGCTTGGGATTCTGTCTCTCTACTCCGCACTCTCTGCCCCTCGTGCACACTCTCTCTCTCTCTCTCAAAAATAAATAAGTAAATAAAATAATAAAATTAGCCCACATGCAATAAATGTGTGCACACACCATGATCCAGGGAGCACGCCTTCACATGCATTAGTGTGGTAATTCTATCCAACAAGGAATCCAAGTCCATTCTTTTGACCTCTTCTTCCTAGAGGAAGTTTGTTGGTGTCCAGTCGTCCGTGAATTCTTCAGTTACCTAAACATTTAAACGTTGTATCAGAGTCAGATACGGAACTTTGCCAAGGCTCTATATCAAGCTCAACATTTGGAAATTTCCTGAGTCTTTGCTGTTCTCATAAATTGAGATCATCTGAACTTTGCCAGTTGCTGTTCTAGTTTCAATGTGTGCGCACACAGAGAGAGAGAGAGAGAGAGGGAGAGATGCATAAGAAAGAATGAGTCTAAAAATGGGACTTCAAAGCAACAAGGAAGAGAGACACACAGCAAAAAGAAAGGGGGAAGAGAAAAATAATCACCACTATAGATCAGACCCAGGTCGCGTGTTTGCAACTGACTCAGTTATTATCACAGATGGAGACAGTTCCAAGAGATTGAGCCTCTGTTGTGGTCCAGATCCTCTGTGCCCATTTTTTTCCAGTCCTAACAACCCCGAAAACTATATATTATCCTCATTTTAAAGGTGAGACAACGGAAGCTGAAAGGTGAATTAAGTCTTCATTCTTTTTTTTTAAATGTCTATTTACTTCTATATTTTTTAAAAATTTAGTGTTTAGGGGCGCCTGGGTGGCTCAGTCAGTTAAGCGTCCGACTTCGGCTCGGGTCATGATCTCACGGTCCGTGGGCTCGAGCCCCGCGTCGGGCTCTGTGCTGACAGCTCAGAGCCTGGAGCCTGCTTCGGATTCTGTGTCTCCCTCTCTCTCTGCCCCTCCCCTGTTCATGCTCTGTCTCTGTCTCAAAAATAAATAAACATTAAAAAAAAAAATTAAAAAAAAATTTAGTGTTTATTTTTCAGAGAGAGGGAGATCATGAGATCATGGCTTGAGACAAAACCAAGAGTCAATGCTGAACCAACTGAGCCCCTCAGGCGTCCTACATGCAGGATAACTTTAATGCATTTTCTCAATGTCACCCACCAGGTACTGACTGACCCTGTGTGTTCGCTATCAAGGCTCAGAAGGGCAACGTTCTCATCCTTTACATGGCGGCTGGTATGCTCACCGCCTACTCTTCTACCCCATCCGCTCCTCCTGTGGTCCTTCTGATATCATGGCCCACCTACGGGGGCTCCTTTCCACCTTCTCTCCCATCTGTCAGCCCATCTCTGCCTTGAGCCTTCCCCCTGCTGACTTTCTAAGTTAGCCCTCTTCGGAAGCTTCTACCCTGCCATGTCCTTATCTTCAGCTTAATCGCTATCAAATTACCCACACACTCTCAGCTTCTAGATCAGTGTCTCCTGTAGCCTCTACAACTGCACAGTAATTTCTTGCTCCCAGGGTCCACCCTTCCTTCAGTCCTCACTGCTTCATCTTCAAAGTAAATTCACTGATCTGCATAATATTCTCAGATCTCTTACGTTTACACACCCACTGGCCCAGTACCCTCCTCTTTTCTTTCCAGGCTGGCTACCCCTCAGCATATCCCTTAGCTGTTTTTCTAAATTCCCTGAGATGAGAAACAACAGACCCACTTTTCTCTCCATATTTTGGCAATTCCAGGCTTCGTCCTCTCAAGAGAGCATGTATTTTTCCCCCCAGGGGTCATAGCCCTTTCTGCTTTTTGTGTCTTTTTCCTGCCTTATCCATTACTTTCCCTAAAAAAAACTCCGTCTCAGGGTGCCTGGGTGGCTCAGTCACTTAAGCGTCCGACTTCGGCTCAGGTCATGAGCTCACGGTTTGTGGGTTCGAGCCCCGCGACGGGCTCTGTGCCGACAGCTCAGAGCCCAGAGCCTGCTTGGGATTCTGTGTCTCCCTCTCTCTCTGCCCCTCCCCTGCTCGTGCTCTGTCTCTCTTTGTCTCTCAAAAATAAATAAATGTAAAAAAAGAAAAAGAAAAAGAAATCAACTCCGTCTTTATGTATGTGTAAAAATGAGGCAATTATTTGAAAGTATCAAAGAGCTGGCTGTGCAGGTGATATGGGGGCTTGGCATACATCGTGAAGGGAGTGAAGAATTAACCACTGTCTATTCAAATCTTTTACCCATTTTTTGGTTTGGTTGTCTTTTTACTGTTGAGTTGTAGGAGTTCTTTATATAAAGGTCTGATAAGACCCTTATCAGATAGGCAATTTGTAAATGTTACCTCCTATCCTGCGGGCTTTTCCCTTTCTTGATGGTATCATTTGCAGCACAAAAGTTTCCAACTTCGATGTAGTCTAATTTTCCTATTTTTCCCTTCTGTTGTATATTTGCTGTTGTATCTAAGGGCACATAAATTACAAAGAGACTTAGGGGGGAAAACCCACTAGGATCGAAGTAAATAACATTAGAAAGAGAAATACAACACAAGCATTTAAGAAAACGCGTAGCCAGTCACTTCTTCTTAAGTTCTGTTGTTCCCTGTGTAACTGGCTTCGTCACAGAGAACAGTGTCACCTGGAGTATACTTGACGAGTGGCCTCATGCAGTGCGGAGAGCAGCTTGAGTCACACGGATGCCCTGAGTCACAGGCGAGAGCTGGTCCAGCCAAACTGTGCGGAGAGAGTTGCCATGGAAACATCCAGGTCTCCACAGTGCCCAGCCTGATGTCGGAAGTCCTGATAGTGGCTTTGTGGTTGCCTCTCCGTTCCTAAGAGAGGGCCCCTGTGCTGTTGCGGAATTTCTAAACCAGCCATTTTTAGCTACTAAAGAACCTTGCTTTTCAATAGCTCTCTCTGTCTCTTCTCCTTTCGCCCCACCTTTAGTGGCAGCCTGGACCCCTATTTGGACCCATGTTTTTCAGGAACTCAAGCACAGGCCCAACCGTATTTATTATCGAACATTCTCCATGTACAAGAGCGAAAACATGGGCCTTTGATTCCTTTTGCCCCCTCTGAAACACCAGAACTGTTCAACAGCATCCTGAATCAGATTCGAAGTTCTGTGGCGTCTCAAAAAAAAGAGGGAGGGGGGGAGATTATATCAGATCGTGTCCTTATTTTCTGACGAGAGGCGACCCGCAGGTTTACTTACATACAGAGGCAGCGCTAATGCGAAACTGAAGGCAAGAGTGATCACCGCACGGGGTCTTACACGGGTGGTTTTCCTCTAGAAGCCCGATCTTCCACCAGCACCCCTTCAGGTGTCCAGGTGACACTCTTGGAGTTATCGTTCTCTGCACCCCAGGTCCACTCCATTAGGAAATCCCGCTGGGTTTCTTTCCCTAATGTCTCCAGAGCCTGACTTCATCTCCCGCCTCCGCCGCTAACACCTAGCTGATGTCATCTCTTGCCTGGATCCCTGCACCGGGACTTCCTGCTTCTCCTTGCCTCCCCCCACGTCCCCGATAGAAGCTAGAATGGCCTTTGCCATCTGAGTCAGAATGTCTCCCCTCAGCCCCAAACCCTCCGACAGCTTTCCATTGCAGAATAAATCTGTATTTCTTAGCCGTGTTGACGACCCCCCACCCCCATCCCCACCACATGACCTGTGTTTCTGAATCTTGCCAACTCTACTCCTTCTTACTCGCTCTGCTGTATCCACACTGGCCCCTTGCTACTTTGTGGACAGTCCAAAGCGCTCTTGCCTCAGAGCCTTTGCCCTTGCTATTCCCTCTGCCTGGAATACTTTTCCCTTCACTTATCACTTCCTCCTGCACAAACGTCACCTTAAAAAAAAAATTTTTTTTTTAATGTATTCTTTTTTTTTTGAGAGAGAGAGAGAGACCGAGAGAGGCAGCATACAAGTCGGGGAGGGGCAGAGAGAGAAGGAGACACAGAATCGGAAGGTCGAACCCACGAGCCGTGAGATCATGACCTGAGCTGAAGTCGGATGCTTAACCGACGGAGGCACCAGGCGCCCCTGCACAGATGTCACCTTAGAGAGGCTTTCCCTAACCACCCTGTAGAAGAGTAACATTCGCATATGCTATACTCTGCTTTAATTTTGCCCATGGCACTCATCCCAGCAGGACCTGAGCTTATTTATTTGTTGCCTGTTTCCTCCCACTAGGAATATAAGCGCCACCAGGGCAAGAATGTCTGTTTATTTACGCTATATGAGTAAATTACAGCGCTGGGATTGAGAACGATGTCGCCACAGTCCAACTACCTCGGCCTGAATCTCAGTTGAATCAGCTGGTGGACTTTGGTAAGTTAATATTTAGCTGTTTTTGTGCCTCCGTAGCCCCCTCTGTAAAATGGGGGGGGGGGGGAGCAAATCAACGATTACGCCTGCATCATGGGTTTGTTGTCGTAAAAGAGGCGACACGGGAGAAGTGTTGAGAGCAGCGACGAGTGGAGAGCAAATGTTCAATAAACGAAGCTTAGCGCTAGCCATTGTGGATGATAATGTACACAGTTGCGTATCAATCACCTTGTGAAGCAGAAGTAGGACTGGAGAGGCACGTACATTAAGTAGTTTTTAAGAAGTTGAACAAGTGGAGGCACCTGGGTGGCTCGGTGGGTTAGGCATCCCACTTTGGCTCAAGTCATGCTCTCACGGTTTGTGGGTTCGAGCCCCGTGTTGGGCTCTGTGCTGACAGCTCGGAGCCTGGAGCCTGCTTCGGATTCTGTGTCTCCCTCTCTCTCTGCCCCTCCCCGGCTCATGCTCTGTCTCTCTCTGTCTCTTAAAAACAAACATTAAAGAGTTGAACAAGTGAATAGCAGTAAAGGAAAAGGGAGAAGGTTGGATTCAAAACCAGCCCCCGGGACTCCACTGCACCATGAAGGGGGCTGTATCTGTGGCTTTCAAAGATGTCATTATTGCCAACAAGTCAAGGTTAACATGGGGCTGGAACCTGAAGAATGTGATTTACCATTTCCCAAACTCTGTTCCATGGAACACCAGCCCAAGAACAGGCTCCCAGGAAAACATGGTCAAATAAGGTTTGAGAACACTAAACACTATATCCGTCCTTAGATATTATCAGCAAAGGTCATCATATTAGAGGCTCTGTGAAGTCCTCCTGTAAAGGGTCCCGTTTAACTGTCTCACGTGTTCTCTTTAAGAATATATTTAACTATAGGGGCGCCTGGGTGGCCCAGTCGGTTGGGCATCCGACTTCAGCTCAGGTCATGATCTCACAATCTGTGAGTTCGAGCCCCACGTCGGGGCTCAGAGTCTGGAGCCTGCTTCGGATTCTGTGTCTCCCTCTCTCTGCCCCTCCCCTGCTCATGCTCTGTCTGTCTCAAAAATAAATAAAAACGTTAAAAAAAAATTTTTTTAAAGAATATATTTAACTATAGAATTCTTTGTGTATGTTATGTCTACCAACAATCTGCAGAGATTATTTGGAAAAACACCAATGTAACAAAATCAACCCAAACCAGGTGTTGGCTGCTGGTGGGAGGTGAGTCAGACCAGTGGGGGCTGATATCTTGAGGACGGAAAGATCTGCCCAATTGGGGCAGCCAATTGGAAACCAACCCAACAGCAGGAGGCCATGGGAACGTGCGTTCATGAAAGAGTCCAGAATATCATGGTGGTAGGAAAATGGAGGCCCAGACAAGCAGCAGCAACACGACAGACAGCACCGAGGAGGGACCAGAGGTAGTGCCTGGGTTTTCTGACACCCCGCAGAGCTCAGCAACCGCGAAATCTGGCAGAGGGCCATATGCTAATGTTCAAGGAGGGACTGAGAATGCCAGGGGCTAGTTGGTAAAGGAATCTCAAATTTAAGTGCGAGGTTCAGGGATGGAACCATGAAAACAAGCAGTGAATTCATCTCTAGGGACCAGAAATGCTCCTGCAGAATTTGGCAAAGAGGCAAAATTGATCCAGACAAGGTTAAAAAGTGGGCTTGGAATTTCCAGAAGCTTCGTGTCAAGGAGCAAAGTGATAGTCTAGCGATGCCATGTAGAGAAGAAGACTGAATGTGACCCCTTAAATCCTGCATGATTTAGAATTCATGGTCACAGACCTGAGCTGAGCCCACAGGTGAGAGCCAAGAGGCTGTGACTGTGGGAAAAAGACGTACAAGGATCAAGGCGCCAAGGTGGTCATTACAGAGTGGAAAGTCAACACATCCGTGAGGCATATTCATATAGCAGGTGGCTAAGGGTCCACGGGTATGCCTCCTTCTTGCATCCTATGCCTCGGATCCCCAGCGGAGTGCTGTCTGCACTACAGCAGATTGCATCTCTGAGCTAGCTGGCATCCCACGATGCACTTTGCAGCCCCAAGGTTGGATTTACAGCCTGTGGCACCCAGCAGGGTAATCACCCTCCTGTTTGGGCTGTTCTGCACCATTTCCTAGGGACAGACTCCCCTCCCAGAGCGGTTGAGGTACTTTGGCACTCTAAGAATGCAACTCTATAGACTTGGTTGATGTCCAAGTTAAGTTTTTAAGCAAGAGAACTTGGCATTAAATTACCCCGAGTGACTGTCATCACTCTGAAGCCAGCAAAAGTGACTCTGCTCAATAAAGTTTTGAGAAATATGTTGAACCTTGGGCAAATTTATGATTCTCTTTTCTCAACTCATGGTTAAGACTATTAAGCCAAAGAATTTTTCCCTCTGTCTCTGCTGGAACTAGATAAAGCTGTTGCCGTACCATTATACTCCAAAATATCCAGTTAGGAAATGTGGCCGGCATTTCTTTAAAAATTTGTATTAGATAAAGCAGAATGCAATTAACACGGAATAAGGCAGACATTTAGCAAATTGCTGTGAGAACAGGGAGAGGAAAGAATGATTCTGTTTAGAATGATAATCAAGGAAGCATTCCTGGAAGAGACACCTTTGAGTTAGGCTTTGAAAGGTAAAGAAAAGAATAATGCATTGCTGATTTACTTGCTGGCCTCCAGAGGGTTTCAATCTGGGGAACCTATCTCAGGGGGATCTCAGAGAGAGTTAAAAAAGAGTCGCTTTGCTTTTAGCTTTAATATTCTGGCCCCAAGTTAATGACCACTTAGGTAAGAATGAGAGCCATTACCGGGTTCTACTCCTGAAACCAATACTACATTGTATGTTAACTAACTTGAATTTAAATAAATAAGTAAAAAAAAAAAAGAAAGAAAGCAGTTCTTTCATTTCTCTTAGCTTTGAGCTTCCTTGGGGGAGGGCCATAAGAAGCATTTTGTTTTGTTTTCCTTTGTAATGTGGAGGAAGACTGAAAAGCCAGAGGGTCAACTCTAAAGACTCTGTGTGCAAATGTTGATGGGGATTGACATCATTAAGCCCGTGGAAGGAAGAGGTTGCAGATTAGTGCAGTTGCAGAGGAGGAATCAATTGACCTGGAGAAGAATGTGGCAAAAGAGCCTTGCGTGCCTCGGGAATGGGGGTCCTCTTGGATGCAACAAGCCAGGGGTAGCAAGACCTCGCATGAATGTGGTTTGGTGGCACCTTGAAACCCCGGATGGAGAAGATAAAGGCCGGCGAAACTGACTAGGAAACACAAAGACCATAGACAGCGAAAGCACATTAACTCTCAGGGGCATCAGATACCAGAATACTCTAAAGACCAGACTCCTCCCCCATTTTTTTAGAGCCAACAGAATAGGGAAGAAATCTTCCATTGTTACTTGACGTTGAATTCCATGTGGAGTCTGGCATGTGAGGGCTGTAAACCAGATTCTAATCCGATTTATAAAAATGAAGAAATATTACAGTTTTCCACATTGAATATCATGGGAAAATTCATGACTGTCATATTTCAAACTCTGCAATGGTACATTAGAATTCCGTATCTAATTTCCAAGCTATTCTGCTGAAAGCATCTTCAATTTTTATACGCATCTTGGAGTCATTAACAGCTATGTCTTTGGAATCAGAAAGAAGTAGTTTGAATAATAACTGTGCTTCTAACATGATTTATAAACAAAAGTCACTTAATATTTTTGAGCTTCAGGTGCCTCCTGTGGAAATGGGGATACCTACCCAACAGGGTTATCGTGATGTTAATTGGATAATCCATTTCTGAAAAAAGAGCTTAATTTCTTAGCTGGCACTTAGAATGCCTTCAACAAGCGGTAGCTTCTGTGATTATTTTTGTGCTGCTGGGGTTGGGGCCAGGAGTCTGGTCACCTAGGCTCTATCAACACTGGGCCAGGAGCTTGGGAAAATCACCTGCATGTCAGTGTCCCCCATCTTTCCACCTGAGACGCTTGGGAATGACAAATGACCTCACGCCATGCTCAGGAGGGAAAGGGTAATCTTCCTTCCCTGGTGGGATTTATTCCTATTTCTGGAGGGAATGTGAATTCAGGATAAGCTGTGGTCTAGGTAGCTCTTTTGCAAGAGGTAGGAGAGAATTTCTACTTCTCAAATGTCTTTTTTTTTTTTAATGTTTATTTTTGAGAGAGAGAGAGAGTTTCACAAGTAGGGGAGGGAAAAAGAGAAGGGACAGAGGATCTGAAGCAGGCTCCGTGCTGACAGCAGAGACCCCGATGAGGGGCTTGAATTCACAAACGATGAGATCATGATCTGAGCTGAAGTCGGATGCTTAATTGACTGCCTGCCACCCAGGCGCCCCTAATTCTCATTTGCTAACGTGCATACAAATCTTCCCGTGTTTTAGAGATTTTATCTTTTTAAGTACTCTCTCCACCCACTGTGGGACTTAAACCCACGACCCCGAGCTCGAGAGTCACATGCTCTACCAACTGAACCAGGCAGGCACTCCTAAATCTTCTGGTGTTTTAAAATACAGTTTATTAATAGAAAGTTTGAAGTATTGTAAGGCCAACGAATCAGGAGGTGACTGCCATCAAAAGAATGGTTTATTACTCACAGTTCCCCGAGAAGGAGGTAGTACACCATGCTGTGGGGGACATACCCAAGGTCAGTCACTGGTCAGAGAGAGAAGGGAGAGCTGTGGCTAGTTTTAGGTGTTTCCTCAGAAAGGAAGGGGTGAACCAGGGTAAAAAGGCTTACACTTAGTTAGGTAATTTCAGTGGTCTCTGGGGCAAAGGGGCCATCCCTAGTTGTCTGGTACCTTCTCCCCTAGTGCAGTGATTAGAATAGTGGCCTAGAGAATGAGAGCCCCATAAAGAAGGTGGTTGGGGTGCAGGCTCTGGACTGGTTGGTTTGTAACTGAAAAGCAAGCTTGGGGGCGAGTTGCCCATTCACTTTGGGAATTGGCTAGCCCTGGGAGGGGCCCTCCAGGCTCAGCAAGCCCCCAGATGTCAGAGCATCAGAACTACAGAAAA